TGACACCGTCACAATACTAGCAAGTGGCTAATGTAGAATCTTGATGGTTGACGACGCCGCATATGAAGGTGTCTTTAAAATCCAAGGGTTATCCGCCGACCCCGGCATAGCCTGGCCTAAGCCGGGTGGCGCCCAGCGCACTGCAGGGTGGAACACTCACCGTTGTCCAGCCACCCTAGACAAAGTTTGTGCGGGGGCATGTTGTCCAGCCGCTATGAAGAACATGGGTGAAGGCTGTGGCGGGGAGCCTGCCACGCCTCAGGCCGTGGGCTTGCACACCTCTTTTGGCTGGAGGTGGCTGATTCTGATTCCACCAGCTGGATTCTGCCAGAATACTTTGGTGGCTGATTCCGCCACCCGCGGGATACTTTGTTGGCTGGCTACTTTTAGTTGGCTGGCTGGGTACTTTGGTGGCTGGCTGGCTGATTGCTAGGTTAGGTCATCCGCTGGATGCTTTTGGCGGGTATATAATTCTACCAGCCCCGGATACTTTTGGCCGGGATATTTTGGTGGCTGATTCAAAAACTTGTCAAAATGACTCTGGCAGACGAGCTGATAAGACCACAAGTAAAAAGGACTCAAAGATGCTCTTGCGAGAAACCATCCAGGCAAATTTCGACAAAACGGGCATGGCTTCAACGTCCTTGGCACCGCCCAGGTCAAACTGTCAAACACACAAAAGGGCAATGAAGAACGTTTTGGAACAGAAGCATCAACCGGCCAGCGAACCTGAATGTGTGTAGTTCGCACATGAGTAATACAATGCATAATTACGCGCAATGCATACGCTGTCTGGAGAAACCTGGACACTCGCAGGCACCCATTCTGCAAGCCTCGCAACCTGCCCAGGGCCTGACAACCACCCTTCAGACAAAACACCCTGTCTGGAAGCCTGGAAACCAAGAAGTCGTGGAAGCCCTGGAAACCCACTGGCTGGAAACCGTCGAAGCTGTCAAAACCCTGTAAACCGTGGAAGGAAGGTGAGGAAAACCCATGGAAGCCCGCGCGCTCCGTGGCGTGGAAGACCGGCTGGAAGCTGTGCAAACCATGGAAACCCTGGAAACCGTCAGTGGAAACCGTGGAGCCCCTGAAAACCCTGGACACCGTGCAAGCCCCTGTTGCTCCCTCAGCTCGCCGGGCACCAGCTGGACAGCAAAAATACTGCAGTGGAAAACCCTCCCTGGCCCCGGTCTCATCCCAAGTCACTGCCCCGCATTTGATCCTCTTCGAGCCGAGCCAAGCATCGCCTGGGGTGGAGAACCCAGGAGGGAGGTATGTCTCCAAGCATGGAACTTCTCCAGGGCCGAGGCCCCTTTTTGAGGCTTTAAGGTCCTATTAATGTGTATCCCCTTCTTTGACTGTCATTTGAGGAACTCTATACAGAGTTACTCACCTTCTATCATCCATAAATGTGATCAAGCCCACTTGGAAGTGCGCGGATCCCACAGATTGTTTCATGCACTCCACACATGGACAGTGCAGGCATGTGCAGGCTACCATGGTCTACCCTGGGAGTTGATTCAAACGCACGGTTGTATACCCTGGAAATCAACCTGTTACGTGAATTGTATACCCTGGAAATCAACCTGTATGTGAACGACATTCCCAGAAAGCCAACAGTTACCCAGGGAGTTCTTTCCCACGGTGACGCTGAGTTCGCAACAGTAGAGCACAAGCCGCTGTCAACTTAGCCTGTCAGCTCAATCGGCGTTGAAACAAACGCCTGTCACTTTTTTGTGCTGAGTCCAAGTGCATTCTTGTGTAGATTACAGGCTGAGGAAGCTGCTGTGGAGCAGAGGCATTCTTCATGAATATCTGCTCCCTTGTGCACAGCTTCAGCATTGGAATGGTTTCCTTTTTCACTGTCTGCTCGTCTAAAACGACGTTCTCCTCTGCGACTGGTTCTTCTTCTATGAAGGCCTTGCCCAAATTAGCTTGAGTAAAGCTTTCTTCGTTGCGAACAAACTTTCTCGATTGAACAAACCTGTTGTTGCAGCTGCGTTCCTTAAATGCAATGTTAGCCTGATGTTTGCAGGCAAAAACGAACGCGCAAAAGCTTCAAACACGACAAACATCCAAGATCACCCAAGGACTCTAGATATTCAGTTGTTGCCTTCAAGTACAAACATGTGCACCTCAATGCGGGAAACTGTTTACATATAGAAGCAGGTTGGAAAAGTAACCCATCAGTGAACGGTAGATAGGGTCTCAACCGGGCTGACTTGTGTCCGGATCACATGGATCAGAGCGGCTCGGGTGTGCTACTTGGACCCTCCAATCGCTGAGCAGGGGATTTGCAGGAAAGGAACCGTGAGGCTCTTGTCGGGTCTCATGGTTCATCTTGCTTTGGCACCGTTTTTCATTACCGTTTACACATGAATCGGGCCATGATGGGCGAACCAAAGCATCGAACCAACTAGTCTATACACATATATACACATGCATCCTCGCGCGCATTAATATATAGATATATAGATATACATATATACACATACACACCCACATCAAACCCTTGTACAAGACAATCTGTAAACCCCCAGCGGTTTGTCACATGAAATAAACCAACCAAACTGCTTGGAGCCAACAAAAAGTCCCTGCTGATTGCAAGAAACCCATACAAGTGTATTATACATAAACCAGTACTCCGAACGAATAATCATTGCCAGCTCTTCTCATCTGTAAGAAGCCGCCAACGCCCCTCTAAAAACAAAGATAAATAAAGAACCTTCACTGCCCAAAGGCCGGAAAACAACATGGCAATCACAGCCAAATGCATTAAATCCATCTTGAGCACAGTCACCTTCCCCTGCGTTTCAACGGCCTGCCTTCTGCTTCATCTCCGCGATCTTGCTCAAGCTCAGACTGGCGAAGCGGGTGACCTGGCGAAGGTTGCAGTCGTCTCGGGTGGACGTCTCGGATGTCCAAAACTAGGATCTGTGCAACTGCATCTGAGTCTTACAGAACTGTCTGAGTCTTGGGCACGGGCTATACCTATACAGGCTTTTATCAGCTGTATATACGTTTAGGATCTCTTAGGTCTTTTGCTACAATCCCATCTCTAGGGCGCAAAGATACAGTGCCACACACTGAACCTAGGGGCTGTGAGTAAATGTAATTTGACTAAGAATCGAACAGTTAAGAACATACTATTCCAGGGATCGGTGACAGCCCCTTGGGCCCAGCAAGCATCGATGGTGGACGTTGGCCCAGCCATTGCCATTGCTCAACAGAACCGGCCTCAGGTGGGAGAGGCGGTGTGGCGAGGGTGTACGACGTGGGAAAAAACAAGTCGGTGAATTGCAGTGATACAGTATGCTCCTACGGGAAGATCTGGGAATTGCACTGATACATCAAGCTATATATGTGCGACAGTATCTCGTTCAGAGGTCAGTCATGTCACGGTATCTCGTTCAGACTGCTTTAGTAGCAGATCACACTATCTCGTTCAGATCACTTTAGTGACATCAAGCAAAAGCATCTCGTTTATGTGGGGCCCCTATCTCGTTCACAAGCGAATACTGATGATAGACAAACAAATAGAGCATGCCGTAGACCACTTTAGTAAAGCCTAGTAAACGTGGTTGCTCATACATATATATATATATATTTGTTATATACACACTAATATATAGTTGGCCACCGAGCTACAAAAGTATGAGGTGTGGACCTACCCTTACATGTAGTCGATGGGGGGTCCCAACGAAGGGTCCCTCCAATCGCACAGGAATAGAGATTCGTGGTCCATGGGTATTGACCCTAGGAGGATTTCAGCGTGCTGTACCTGAAGCTTCACACCTGTGTATTTTATGGGCTTCTGGATTTTATGGGGTTTTAGGGGCTCATGGACTGACACGTACACTGATGTGAGAAACCAAGGCCAAGCAGCATATGTTCATCTACTGTGGAGACTACCAATTCTATGGATCAGTATGAATTGCTTGGGAGCCCTCCCGATATTACACGCCTGACTTTTTGTCAATCTTGGTCATCTCCTAGATGCTTTTTTGCGGTTGCTGCTTGCGCATTGGCCACTAGTTCAAGTCGCTCGCTCGTGCGTCGGCAGGACATCCATACCGATGTATCTTCGGGAGCGTCCTTGTGTTCCATCTTGTGGACACTGTGGTTCCAACGGTTCGGACGGAGCTGGAGGCGGAGACTCCCATGATCTTATTCAGGAATACCATGTAGCCATCATACCCCCGATCTTTCAAGGCCCAAACAATCCAATAATGTGTTTTTGAACTGCACACCTCTCTTGAAGATCATCCGCTGTAGTGACTGTAGTGGCCCCCAATTTTGGGTGACATGTGGCCTGACAAGGGATCCTTTAGTCCCACGAACCCATTTCCATCAACCAAGCTCCCCGGCTGCGTTCCCAGGGTCGGAGCGCAGGCCATGAGACGTCTCGTCCCGAAGGGTCCCGAAGGGTCCCGAAGGGACGAATGCGTCCAGAAGCGTGTAGGACGGCTGAACAGCTGATATCTGATATCTGCATATTCACAAGAAATGCAAACCGTTGAATGTTTTGGTGGTGCGCAAAACGCTGATGTGTTTTTGTGTGACTTTATTCATAAAATTCCTGGATGGAGGTTGAGTGTTTCCGCGTGTTACCCCCTATCCCTCAACAAATCTAAGTCTCAAAAACCTGTCTAGGCACTATGCCGTCAGAGTCATCTGTTATTTGCTCTAATTACTGCTGGAGCCAGCGATTTAACCCAAACAAGATCCTGAACCATTCGGATAAGGGTCCCCCTGCATTCCAGGGTCTTGCCCGCATGATTTACAACATGTTGATTATGAACCAGCATGGACATGACGAGCACATACAGTCAAACACTTCCAACATGTAACCCGGTGGCTCGAGTGTGATGCGGCCTCCGAGTTTTTTATTACAAGACCCAAAAGAAACTTCCATACCCTGAGGATCACCAAGAGCCAAGATTCCAAAGTGAGATCATCCATTGCGGGATGTCCCCGCGATGACATCTCGAATCTCATGTCATCGCGTCCAAAAGCCTCAGTAGCTTGAAATTCCGCAGGAGCTCCGAAAGCCTTCAGAGGTCCCTCCAACTCCAGGACTCCCCCGCGAACGCGCCATGCGCAGCTTTTCTTAGCGCTCTGCACCGGTCGGGGTCGGACACCCGCGCCAGCGCGGAGGAGGATCGAAGCTGTAGGACTTGGTCCGTTCGTTCCACCACCAGCTGCGTCCTGGAAGCATCGGAACCATCCAGGCTCGGGATATCCAGGGAGATCGATAGTAACTGCAGGGTAGTCCAGCCAGACCGATCGACTGGATGCTCCTGGAACATGTAGGACTTTGGGGCCTTGATGGCATTCAGGTTTTCTGGCAGCCTGGTTCCCCATCTGGCGGCCGGTCGGCGTTCTTGCGCCCATTTTTTCGCAGTAGCTAACGGTTACAAATGAACCTTTGTACGAACGGTATCAAGGGTGTTGGGTTTTGATTCGATCATTTTGGGATTCCCCTCATGATTCAATGCATGCGGTCTTTGGTGAGTTTGTTTCTAGTAGCCGAGGCCGAAGCATGCAGGAGCTAGCTTTCTGGCCTTCTGCGTAGGAAAGAGTCAACAAATACCCTCCCTCCAACAAACAGGGAATTGGAACACGGCCCCTTGGAAGACAAATGCAGAATACGGGCGTTTAAAATTGTTTCAGGGAGTGTGCATCAATCATGAAGCTCACCCAAACACGAGCAGCCAACCTCCAAATTCTTCCACTGTGCATGCAATGTGCCTCATCACTTCTTTGCATGCACATGCATTTATCGCACTGCACCCAGTTGTAGCTGACTCTGACCACACACATGGTGGACTTGCCTATATCAAACAATAGACTCGTTGTTTAGAAGCAGAATGGAACGGGCTAGCAGTGTATCCAATCCGATCTGTTCACACTCCCATTCATGAACATCATTTTTTTTATTATCCTGCTCCCCCAGCATCGTCTGTGACACTTTCAGTCCTGTTTCTGGATCCGTATACTCCTGCCAGTCCTAGTGCAGCGGATCAAGTTGCACGGCGTTCTCGAAGAGCCAACGACGCCGTTGGTGCCAACGGCCAAAGAGAAGGTGCCGAAGAGTCATCCACGAAGCACCCCCAGTCATTTGGACATACAACATCCATCAAAATCCTATTGAATTCCTACGAATTCCTATCCCAAACACTCCATGGGACTGCCATATATGCCGATCAGTTGGGGTGGTGCCAGGGGGTCAATGGGGCGGCATATTATGGCAGTCCCATGGAGTGTATGGGTATACAAGATCGTCCGTGTCTGGAGGTCGGTACATTTCACCGCGCCACAGCCTCGATACTCCAAGCTCAAGGATCTGGTGAGGGCAAGAGCTTAGCAAGACAAGTGAGCAGAAAAATAAAACAAGCTACGCAATTGCAACGGTCATAACCAAGGTACCTCTGCCGGCTTCCGTCGCAAACCAAAGCGTCCTTGGTAGGACCCTAAGATGGTGCCTCCCTCCTGTAAACTTCTCTTCTGCATCACCGTCAACCCGATGTAGAGGCGATACTCAGGCTCCGCGAACACATCTGCGTAGAGCGGCATGATGCGAAAGCACCTGACGCTTCCGCAGAACGACGTCCACGTCGGCTCCACGTCTTGGGCGCTGTCTTGGGCTGACGTGGCTGAGCCAGTAGGACATACAAAGCTTGTCTGAACATTGTCTGAAGCAACTCCAATACAGCTAACTTGCGCAAAGAAGTATGAATTTCTGGAAGACAAAGTAAACAAGGAGTCTGGCAAACTTCGACTTACAATCACTATACAGCGCATCCGCGAGTTTCTCTCAAGCGCGACGAATGTACGTGCCAGACCACTCCGCATGCTCACGCCCTGGTCCCACGTAACAGCAACGCCAGGTGACTCCGCAGAACAGCGTCCTCGCCCTGAGCGCCAAATAGAGGGGTGGAGCTCACAGCCCCACGCTAGAAAACCAGGCATCCAGCTCGGGCGTCATGACCTGGCCCTTCCTCTGGTTCGCCCAGGCACGAGCGTTCTTTCGACAGGACGTGCATTGTATGTTCACGCGCGTCGAGTAGAACTGAAGGCAATGCAGACAGTGTGCGTCGGCAGCATAAAGAAACAGATATTCCATCCTTTTTCCTTCGGGCAACCCTCCATGCTGGCTTTCCCACCTTGGACAATGCGGCGCTCCGCTGCAAGGTGCGAAAATTCCTGAGGCGGCAGTGGAAGCAGCCCCCGACGACGCAGCAGCGCCGGCGTCGCCCTTTGCTGTGCAGCCACCAGTGCTCGGCTTATGCTCCCCAGACGACGCAGTGCTGCCAGCTCCGCCCTGCGCTGCAAAGCCACCAGTGGCGCTGTTGGCGCGGCCCTGTGTAGCATAGCCAGCAGTGTTCCGGCCACGGCGGTCTTGTCTTTCTGCGTCCTCGGCTTCCCGCCAGCGGATGAACTCAACTACAACTACACACCTCATTAGGGCACATTCCATACCGCTTTAAACCTACTCGCTTTGCTTGCTTCAGTAAAATGATAGCCCTAACTTTTTCCTGTAGAAAAAGCTATAAAACTATTAAAGACTAATTAAAGCTAAATAGAACTGAAGAAAACTGAAAAAAA